GTGCTTCTGGATAGAGCTTCGGAAGGGAGGCTCATTATGCGGTCGCGGGCCGCAGCTCCCATTGGCTTGCTATCGCAGTGTTAAAATCAAACCCAAATTTCGTTGGGGCCATCGGCAGTGCCTGGAATAATTTATTGTGGACGAAAACAATCCGAAGTAAGTTTCGAAACATTCAGAATACTGAAATCCCGAATCTAGATTTAATTTTACTTTAATTAGTAAATTGGGCTAGATTTTTGGCCTTTGGGGCTCGAAAACCGGCGAAACGCATTAAGGAGCTTATTGATGGTGATAGTGTGTATTCTGATGCGAACAAGCATCTTTGGGCAAAATTTGGGCCTCAAGGAAGCTTGCCGCGACTTTTTACGAGCGGAACTAGGTCTAGCCTAGCTCAGCGGCCGATTTCATGTTCCGACCGGGTCGCCGTAAAATGCTTCGTGTCGAAAGGAATTGTGTCCAAAAATTACCTTAACTGTCCATTCTATAGGCAGAAGCCTTCTTTACATTCTATAAAAATCTGAGACCACTAAATCACTCGGGGGCTTCAGGACGGAACAAAGTATCCGACTTGTAGTTGCGGCCTTTTGGTGAGCTTTTTCTTCGCATAGAGCAACATTTTGGAAGCTGTATTTCGCACCCAACCGAAGCTACCTCCAAAATCTGTTGATACTTTCATAATATTATCGGTTTTGATTACCTCCAATAAGCAAAAAGATTTTAAAAAGTTTAGAAATTTTTTTATGGCCATTTCTATCAATATCGAGTTGTATACACTTTCAACTGGTCACCCTGTATAAATCGGTTGATTAAATGAATGAGAATAAATGAATTAAAGCGCGTCTCGTGAAGCATAAAATAAGTGATGATAATAGGGCAAAATTTCACAGGTCTTAGAATCGAGCTAAAATAAGAATAATCGGTGATTCCAGCAACCTAGCCTTTTTTGGGTCTAGAGCGTTGATCAAAAAATGGTCAAAGTAGTGGACAATCAAATGCTAAGAATTTTATGGAGGCAAAAAACTGCCAGTATCGTAGATATAGAAAATCCCAAACCAATCTAGCGATTTTTCATCGATTTCATCGAATTACGCGCATAAAAATTGCCTGGTGCGGCCCAAAACCCCGCAATCAATCAATATTGCTATGCCCTGCCTTTATGCAAATATCATCTAATCGATACCAACCAAATCGCCAGTCTCGAAAAATATTCTAAAAAAATTTAAAATATTCTTCTGGTTGTCGTAAAACTATTTAAATTGTTTATTGCATTAAACGAGCTGCATTCTTGATCGCAATAATCTTAACTCTCTCGTAAAATTCTCGACATATTTGTACAAAACTGCAAGGAAAGAACCCAAACATCAAAGCAAGTGAAAAAAGGCAAATTAAGTAATCTTGCAAAATAAATGGCGTTCGAAAACAATTAGAAGGACCCAACAAGCAGCCTCCAGAAATAATGTTGCAATTTGGGAGGAGAATTGTGCGTACGGGGCACTACTCTGTACATCCTGTTCCGGTGCGCTATACACATTCATACGCATGCCTGTTTTGCTGGAGTAACCTGTTAGCTTGGTTCCCTCCACATGATTCCGTTTTGTTCGTCTAGGGGCTGGCGGATAGTGCGCGAGGGGGTAGCGAGGTAGGTACCCAGCGGACCGCCAACGGTGGCTGGGGCACGGTTTAGACGGCGGCTGGCGGCCAAAAGAGGCTCGGGGCGGCTGGGCAGAGACGCAGAGACAGAGGGAATCTCTGGGCTCTCCGCCACCCACCCGCTCTCTCGCCCCTCCCATCCTGTTCGCGCTACACGAACACAAATGCTAAGGCTCGGAATGCTGTGCCTCCGGGCTGTGGTCTCTAAAAATGCAGTGCAATTTTAGTTCTTGGCAACTAAATTAAGAACGAGATTTATCAGAAAAAAATTCAGTGAGATGTTCCAGAGCTTTCTTACGGAACCGTCGGCCGCAACGTCAGGCGATGCAGCGAATCCCCCACTCTCCAGCAATAACGTCAGCCCATCTGCACGCACGAATTTCGTCTTCTGCAGCCGAGTCGGGATGCAGTAATACCACACCGAATCGGTGACTGTTATAGAAAAGATTTCCCTCGAGCCCGCCAGCCATTGCACAATCAAATGGCCAATGAAAAGTTTGCCCCTCAGCAGCGCGACCGCTTCAATTTGCATAAAAAGTCGTTTGCCGTGCCACTGGAGCCATTCGACCGGGTCATCGACCTTGCAGACAACGACTTGGTCACACTTGTCCGTCATAAAATTGTAGATGGCACGATGCTCCGTGCGCCGCCAGTCCGCGACCGAGAGCTTCTGATAGCCATTTCTTGGCATGAGTGTCTCCAGAAAGTTGAGCGATTGGGGCAGACATTCCAGGTGCAGCTCCCGAGCTTTCAACTTTGAGCTTATTATCTTGTCTTGCGAGCTCTCGCACGTCCCCGCTATGGAAAGTATCTCAATTTCGGAATTGGAATACATCATTGAGACGGTAGCATCATTTTCGATGTCCATTTCGGATACGCCTTCGATTGCTAGCTCTCCATCCTTGACGAAGATGACGGCGTTGCTTGCTGATCTCGGCGCATTTGCCACCACCGCCCAGGTGTCTCGACAGCAACGGGCCAACCGGAAACGGGTACGTATATCGTCGGCATCGATGTGTTTCGCAATCAGTTCTTGAGCGTGCGTGGGCAGACAGAGGAATGGGAAGGCTGAAAAATAAAGTAAAACAAAACTACTTCCTATAACAATAATTAATGAAAGGGACTGACCAGGTTTTTGCGTGTTTTCGCGTACCGATTTGGGAGGGCGACGTCGGTTTCTTTTTCGCATTCGGGAGCAGGGCCAGCTAAAAAGTCCATTGACTCCGGAGTATAATTTAACCGAGACGCATGAAGGTGTAACATAAAGACAAGGACCAAAAAAAGCTTTAGAAAATGTGGATTTATTTTAAATTCTTGCGTCGAAGGGCCGCGGAAAGAAAATCTCAGGACCAAAAGCACTAAATGTAATTCTTAAAAAAGACAGGTAGGTGTTTTCATTAATTGCCTTGCTGCCTATTTTATTGGGCGCGAACAGTTCGATGGAGCATCTCTAGCTTTCATCTTGTTTCCATGGCAGCGCTCCTTTTCCAGAGAAACCTAATGTTCTTTGCTCGCAGCCGAATTAGCGAAATGGGACGATCTCTCTCTCCCTCTCTCTCTCACTCTCTCTCTCTCTCTCTCATTCTCGCTCTCGCTCACTATCTATCTATCTCTCTCTCTATCTCTCGCAATGGATGCATGTCGTGACGGCTGGGTAATTCGGTAAGAGCTAAAATTGAAAGTAGACAAAAGCAAAATAGGAGCTATCAACCGTTTATTTCCAGAAAGACATAGGCACACACGAGATCATGAATCAGTACGACATGAACGATATTTACGAGTATATAGGCGGCCGATGGGGGGGGGAGGGGGTTGAGTTTCCGTTCGGAGCGATGGATGTGGCTGTCACTTCTTCTCCTGCGCATAATTGTCGATTTTCCATCCGTCAGCCAGCTTCTTGTCGAATTCCTCTTGCGCTGAAAACAAATGGATACTGTTTTCTCTAACAGTAATTTCTTTTCGGGCCGTGTTTCGGGTTTTTTCGCCGAAATTCAACGATCTTAAAATGGAATAAAAGCTAGGGTTGAAAGGCTGTGAATTATGAGCATTTGGATGGTCCCAGAGCACTTTAAGCTTCAAAATTAAAACCTACTCTTGATGGTGTCCTTGACGTTGACGAGGAAGATCGGCATGATGGCGTTCTGCTCGGGGTCGACGAACAGGATGGCGCCAAGATTTTTCTAAACATGCGAAGTTTCCCAATGTTGGGACAAAGGAAAGGTTTGACAGCTATGAGGTGAAAAAAACGTATGCATTTTGCTTGCGCATCGATTCAAACAATAATAACGAAAAATCGTTGTCAAGCGCGGTTCCCCTCGAGAGGTGCGGTAGGTGTGTACCTCTTTCTCGAAGCAGGATGCCGTGAAGACGGTGGCCACCGGGAGATCTCCAAACCGTTGCACGCCGTTCGTCATCACCTATAAAAAAATCGATAAAAGCAGCTGTTAGCTATTACGGTAAGGAGGGCACAAACCCTACCTGGTTACTACGGATGACAAATTCGATGTCAAGCCGCTCCATGGCCTCTTTGATGGCTTGGCGCCCCAAGCGGTTGCCGTAATCGCGACTCATGTTGGGCTCGCAACTAAAAGACAACTGGAAATCGGGGAAACTAACCTTTTTTAGGTTCTCAGTTTTCAAATGTAAATGGTGACAGTGTTTCAAAATGATTTTTTTTACAATGCCTAAACGTAAAAACCTTATAAATTTTTTTACGATTACTAAAAACGCTATTGAAAGTTTTTATTAACTTACTAGGCCTTGCTAGACTTATACAAAAAAGCTCGGTGCAGTTAAATTTCGAGGCGAAAAGATATTGAAACTTAGAACGCCATAGCCAAATTCAGGCTTACTTCATAGTTTCTTACTTTCTTTTTCCGTTAATTTAGCGAAAGCAGTGCGTCACTCACAATTCGACTTGTTCGGAGGGAACGTTCCATCTCAGCTGCTTGCTCATGGTCTCATACTGCTGCGGATCCCATCCATTTTTAAGGAGCTTTTTGGTCAGATCGAGTGCTGAAACAGGTAATCATTTGGGAGGTCACGATGAAAGCCGGATTTTTTTAGTCCCGCAAAAGTTTTTCCGGTCGTCGAAACAGCCCGGATTTGTACTTGCTAGCTCATGAAGTTAATAAAACATACTTAACATGCCGTGCACGCAGAGAATCCGGCCGTCAATCAGTCCGACATTTGGCATATTGGCAAACAAGTTGGCAAACAAACGGAACACGCCTCCACTGTACTCGCGAAGTGCAAGGCGCTCTGCGAAGGCCTTGCAAATTGTAGCGTCTTCATTTCTGCCACGTATCAGCCACATCTAAAAAGTCAAAACTCATCCTTTACCTATAGGTAGGGCAGAATAATCAAATGAGTGCTTCATACCTGGTCCGGGAAGAGAGTCTTGTAGGCGAGGATCAGAGCCAGACATTCGAGTTGACGGGGGCCAACATCAACGATATTCCCGAGGAAAACAATGCTGAACCATTGTACAGGGTGTCCCAATAAAAAACACCGCTCTAACTCCACGTAGAAGTATGGGATCGGAATGATAGTTACACCATTCGAAACCCATTGAAAAGGCGAGTTTGCAACAATCTGCAAAAACATTTTTTCGACTAAACATGGCATTTTATACTCAATTTAAAAGCATTAAAGAACCGCCCTTGTATCTAATTAACGCCACTTTTTGGCCGTTTTACTTGTAGAAATTGAGGCAAATTCGCTCGTATGCAACCCCGAAAACCCGCAAAATTTTACAAAATGACTTGTTAAATGGCTGGCTTAGATACAAACATAATTGTGAAGATTGTTGCCACTCGTCGTTTCAATGGCTTTCGAATGATGTAACTATCATTCCGATCCGACATTTCTTTTTTATTTTAAAACAAAAAAAAAATTAATTTTAAAAATTTTTTGGGGGGGGGGAAGAAAATTTTTAATATTTTTTTTTTTTAAATTTTTAAAAATTTATAAAAAAAAATTAAAAAATTAAAAATTTTTATTGAGGAAAAAACGGGGAAAAAGGGTTGAAAAAATAGTTTTTCGGAAAATTTTCCCGCGCCCAGTTAGACGCGGTGTTTTTTATTGGGACGCCCTGTAGTGTAGCTTCAGCAGACGTCCTACAACAACTCACTTTTGCTTGGGTCCTTTGCCAACCACATCCGATAACCAGGCATGGATCGCGCGCCAAAGATCGTTCAACTGAAAATTGGGTTGCTTCCTTCCAGGTTATCGGGGGCGGTTCTTTTAGCGGGGGATATGGTTAAAAGCGAGCAAAAACCCTAGATTTTGCGACTGCAGTATAAATGTTGCATAATTTTTGTGTACCGAAAACTATTAAAAACGTTATTAAAATAAACTAAGCTTTTTTACTAGGCAAGTACTTTACTAAATTCTAAATTAAACAAAGAAAATTTGGAAAACCGCCGCTAAAGCAACCCCCCCCCCCATTACACTGGAAGCACCAAAATTGTGGATAGCGTGTCGCAAAAATGCAACCATAAAAATGACCACCCAATCAGTGAAATGCTCACGTTTCCGTGGATATCCCCGACGACCATCGTTCTTCCCTTTGGCCTCGCCACTCCTTTCTCGGCTTCGAATCTCAGCCCGACCGAGTCACACAAAGCCTTCAGCTCGTCGGCGCTCGGGTTGTAGAAGGGCGGCTGCATTAATGTTTACACTGTAGCGGGAACAAAATTCGAGGTCTTGAAAATACAGTAAAAACGGCCGATATTGCTCGATGCTTTCCCATGACCAGCCCTTTGAAAAATACCTGGGCATGTGAGTATTTGAAAGTGCTTTACCCGCTACCCCCTTAACGAAATCGAACAAAGCGGACACAGCAGACAAGCTAGAGAATCTTTATCTTTTTTCAAGTATAACATACCCCGTCATCAACTTCCACATAGCTGGCCTTGCCTAACTCGTCGACAGTCTTCTGTGCCACCACCTGCCTGTCCAACACTTTGCGTTTAAATGATCTGGGTGCCCATTCCTTGGCGGGTTCCACTTGATTGCCTTGCTGAAAAAATGAGGTTCGACCGACGGTTTCTTTTGAACTTATGCTACGTTTACCGAACTGGCACTCACCAGTTTCTCGAGATCGATCCTGAGCGCGAACCCGCGTGCAGCCAAATCATAGCGGCCCGCCTCACATTTCAACGGGCGCGGAGTTCCTTCGGGCTAAGAAAAAAAAGAAAATCGGATGGAATTTTCGCTAAAGTGCAAGCCGACGACTTCCAAAACTACAGGAATTATCGAAAAAAGACATGTCTGCTGGCATGCCCCCTTTAAGAATTTCAAACCCTTTTACCATTGTCTTGAGATGCGCTTTGTGTCCACCGTCGATGTTGGAAGTGATGAGTTGGTAGCGACCCTGAGCAAGGTCTACTAGTCCGGATTGCGGCTTTTTCAAGGATGGTTCGGGATCGGGTTGGGTCGGGTCGACAACGGCCGACTTTGATTTGACGGCATCCGGGGTCGATTTGGGAGCTGGTGGTGTTTGTTGCACAGCTTCTGCGGCTGGGGTCGGCTCTACAACATCCGCGATTGGTTTTGGAGCTGCGGGAGCTGGTTCAGCAACGACAGGGATCGGTGCGGGAACCGCGGCTATAGGTTCGGGAACGGCTGGAGTCATTTGTGAAACAACCGCCACTTTCTCCAGATCCTCCTCCTGCTCCTTCCTAAAACTCAAGATTTGGTCAAACAAGTTTTGGGAAACATCTTCAATGTGCAGCTCAAGATGACGCCGCAGATGATCAGGAGGAAAACGCCAGCACCACCTAAAGCCAGTGGTTTGTAAGGGCCGAAAGGGCCTCAGAAACTGACAGGATAGCTCACCTGCACCAAGCCAGACCAGCATTTCACTCGACACAAGAGCAGCCGTCGTAGTAGTTTCGATTGGCGGCGAGGTGCTGGTGGTACCATGGCGATTTGTGCAGATTCGCTGGAACGAATATGCCATCGGACGTGTTCGATCCAGAAAAGCCGTCAAATGACTAAAAAAATACACTGTCGTTGCTTCCCTGACATGGCGGCGGGTTGAGGATTAGCCCGCTTGTGTCCCCGTTCCGGAATTGGACAAAGATATTCTTGTTGCAATTCAACAACTCGTCCCGCTCCACGCGTCTCCGGTCTTCGGCCTGGAAAAGCAAAATTACCTCTAAGGGATTTTCGCGGTTACCGCCAATCCGGAAAAGTCGATGCAGCGGGGGTATTGAATCCGTTCGGTAGCTTGGCGGCGATTACGGCTGTTCTGGAGGCCATCGAATTCAGATCGGACTATCTGAAATCAGCAATTCAGCGAGGTTCAAGCCTTTTGGAAGGATCAAGGTCAAGGGCAAGAAAGGAAAGGAAATCAGTTCCAGACCTCTTGAATGTCGCGAGAGAAGTGCTCTTCTTCCGTCCCATTTGTAGTGGATGTCGCGGTTGAGGCATCAGGAGCTTCGGCTGCCGTACTCGATTTTGTTGCCGGCGTCTCTTCCACTGCCCCAAGCAGTAGGTTCTCCTCTTCGTCCATCAACACGGCGTACGGCCCAGACTAGATTAATTGGGGGCTCCAGTTTGTTGATTTAATTTAGAGCTTATTATGCGCTTTTTGAATATTGCCCACCAGAGCGCGGCGTGCAGTGAAGTACGATATCGCTTCTCCTGGATTCGAGATATCCAGGAAGACGCATTCTTCGTAAGTGGCCGCATAGAGATACTTGCATGCCATATCACATTCTTTGGCATACTTAACTTCCTTCGACCGCGACAGAGAACTAAAAAACTTGGAACCTTCGTCCGGTTGGCTTACGGGCTTTGGCCATTGTTGTCGCATATAGGTAGTGGCTCACATTTTTCACCGGGGAGTCGGCCACCCTTGCCACAGTACTAAATTGAGGTATTCCCAAGCCTAAATAATTCTTACATTGACATTCAGAGGATTGATGACATCGTAGGGGTAATTGGTGAACGGTGATACATCATCCTTTGCGTATCCGGCGGCAATGTGCAGGCTCGGGACACACGTTTTTTGCAGAGCGCTGCCTTCCGAGGCGTGCTTCGCGATCGCTTCGTTCACAATCCTGGAAGCAGCACACCGGTTTTGCAAACATTTACGCCCCCATGCAATCTCGTACGGTTGTAAAATAATATACCAATTCTTTTTGGATTTGGCTCACCGGAACTGCTCAGCCATAAGTCTTGTTAATGCGCTCAAAAAGCTCAACTAAAAACCCTAAAAATCATCCTCCCGCTAACCATACAATAGCAAAAAACCGCCAAAATTGAACATGACCGGCTTTTCACGGGCAGGGCGAAGAGACAGAAATTGGCTTTCCAGGCCGTTCCCCGCCCCCAAGCACGGAAGCGCCATAAAAATACCAACTCAGGCACTATGAAGCCGGCTTCGCATTGCACCAAGTACTCGTCGGTTAACGGGATTCCACGCTTCACGTACATTTCGGTGCTCCTATATTATTTACTTCATTGAAAATACAAAGAAACGAGATCCACGAGTATTCGCAGCGGGAAAATTCCCGCGGGGGGGGGGAGGGGGGCAAACAAACTCTTGATTTGTTTCGGTGCAAAATAACCAAGATTTGGAATTTTTTCAGACACTTTTTCAAGTGTTTCTATTTGAAATCTAGTTCAAAATTATTAAAAAACGGTATAAACACATTGTATAATTGGATTACCTAACCTAGACCTACAGGAGACAGTCTGATCACCCCCCCCCCCACCCCCCGCAAATACTCAAGATCCAGAAACGACCCCACCATGATGTTGCTTTGCATTGGCCGGCGGCTAGCATTTCTCGGGTGCACAAGTTGAAGGGGAACATCACTTGATCTATCAAAGGATACAGCTTCAATCTGTACAGAGTGCAACCTCTTCCATTGTTGATATTGACAGGCAAGAGGCAATTTGTTGCACCAGATTCTGCGTTTGCCCCGGCTGTCTAAAAATCGCGACAGATCTGGTTGCGGCAGCAAATGGTAGCTATTTGGCTCGGTTGTACTTACGCAAAAGTTTGGCCGACACGCCTTCGTCACATCTAGCCTTGGATCCCCTCCGTTTCCAGTGCCAGCCGATTCGCATACCGGGGCCTTACAAGCCGCGCATTCAGGCTTGAGCCACTCCGGCATCTCAATTCCCTGAGCAGCCTGATGCTCATATGCGTAGCAAAGGAAAGGACGATATGCAGCACACTAAAAAAGGCTGAAAGCGGGCTGTTGCGGAAACCGATTTCGATTCCTCGTCGCGCCGCTTCGGACGGCGGCTGTCGGCGTAGAGCGCGGATGCCAGCTTGGTGTGGTCGAAAGTGGAGACCGGCGATTGTGCGAGTTCACAAGCACTGAACAAAGAGAATTCTATGATTCCCATCCCGGCTCGCCCCAACTTTTGTATCCCGGTCCCCGCTGCTGCAGGGTTGTTATGTATATAGAGATATTTAAGCTAGTTTTGTTCAAATGATCCTGAACCAGCCCGACGAGCTGAACATCCTATCCTATAAGTTTCTATATATATAAAGTTTGGGTTTGGCTATGTGACCGTATACTTGCATTTGTGACAGCATTTTCCCCCCTGATCTGCGGTGTGACATGTACATCTTAAAGTAATAATAAATAGCAGAAGAAAAAGAAAAAAGGACCCGAAAAATATTTGAGGTAGAAAAGTAAAAATCTAGTATCATGGCCTTAGCCGGGCGAACTCCTAGTGACTAGAAAATAGGGTCCAAAGACTGACGCGTTGGCGTGGAGGTTGACGCTGCTGAAGAAGAAGACGATGATGATGAGCAAGTAGATCATCCACATGGCGCCGCCAGGCTCCAGCGGGAATCGATGACGACCTCTCATCGATACGCGCGTAGATACAGCCGAAATTCGCGGTGGCATTATCAAATGACTTTTGGGGCTGCAGGCCAACCGATTATGCTAATTTATTCTGATTATCGGAGGTAAGTGCGGCTACCTACCCTAGGCTTATTATGGTACCCGGGGACCCATGATTGCCGATTTCAAGGACAAGACAAGACGCCATTCCTATGCCAGGGCAGACCAAACCTCACGTCTTTTCAAAATACCCAGCTTGTCAACTTGCTCCCACGACAAGTGATCAACGTTTGTACCATACCAACGATAAACCAGCGCTATTCAAAGATACGGAACACACAAACAGGAATTTTTCACCGTTTATTTATAGGAAACAAATCAATGATGACATGAAGACTATGCGGAAGGAAATGGTGTGAAACCGGTATGTTACGAGTATGTAAACGGTCGATAGGTTAGTCAAATTTTTTGTTCGGAACGATGATGTTGTGGATGAGTGGTGAAATTCTTCTCACTGCCTCGTTTTCTCTTTGTTGTCGATTTTCCATCCAGCAGCCAGCTTCTCGTCGAATTCCTCTTGCGCTGAAACCGTAAATAGGGGCTAATCTCTGGGCAAGCTTGGCATTTCGTGGCTACGAAAGACCATGCCGAAAAACCGACTTTGTGCAAATTTTAACCGGCATTAAAGGGGCCCGGAAGTCAAAATTCGCGTGTGCGGGACTGCACCTACTGTTCAAACAAACAATAGTATTACTGCGGAGAAGTACCAAAAAAGTGATTTCGTTGCAAAGAGACGTGAAATAGTCGAGTAAAACCGGAAAGTTCGCGGGGTGAAAACGGTTTTTGAGGGCGCGGCGATTACATGTCGTAATGCCTTGCAAGGCACCTAACCTCTCGATTCCCTGGTTGTGTCACCAATTTTCCTAACTAAAACTTCTAAAATGACCAAATTTTGTGAGCGATCCAGAACTAGCGTCAGAATTTTTCAGTTCAAGCGTTTGCACGTCCGAACTGGGGGCAAAAAAACATGTGGCGCGGTTGCATCACCGTCGCATCTCGCCATTTGCCAGGAGCTGAAGGGCGTGGACCAGATTTCGGAGCCCCTTTGAGGGATGGTTAGCGGATATTGGTTACCCGAACCCATTGCAGCTCCTACCCTTCCAAGTTTCTTATCGACTTAAAACGTACTCTGGATCTTGTCGTCGATGTTGACGAGGAAGATCGGCATGATGGCGTTCTTCTCGGGGTCGATGAACAGAAGCGCGCCAAGTGAAGAATTCACCTGGAAAGGAAGAAGTTTTGATCGATATTCAACAACGGCAGTTATTATGGCACGGTGGGGCTACTTGGGAAAGTTGCTCCCCCCGTAAAACGCGTCGACCTCCGTTTCGTGCACAAAAGTATGATTTTGGTCACAAAAAAAATTGTTTTCAGGCAACCCCACACGAATGGTTTGGCACTGTAAGGACGTACAGCTTTCCGGACGCCGGATGACGAGAAGATGGTGACCACCGGGAGATCTCCAATTCGTTTGACGCCGTTCCGCTTCATCTAGCAAAAAGTAGATCAAAGCAGCCATTTCGTTAGGTTCATTTTCAAACCAACCTGGCTACCACGGATAACGAATTCGACGCCAAGCCGTTCCATTGCCCCCTTGATGGCTTTTGGCCCCAAGCGGTTACCGTACTGGCGACGGCTGTTCGGCTCACAACTAAAATCGAGGGTAAGAATCAAGGACCAGGATCGAAATAAGCAGAAAAGGAGGCTTGAGTGCAGTTTATCCCGCACCCCGCCCCCCAAGCCGACAGCCAGCTACCGTATCTCAGCTCGCTGTTCATCTACAGGTGCGTAAAGTATACCAAAATATTCGTCAGAGCAAGACTAACATCAACTAGTATAATAATTTTGCTGTGGTCTCTGTCCGTCTGTCCGTGTGAAGCCGAATTCAACTCGAAGGGGAAAGGAGCTAGAGCTTAGCTCTCTTCGGATTCGGATAGAGCGTGGTCAGAAACCCCCAAACTGATAAAAAAATCATGAAAAAGTTTTTGCTTAAATTATTAAATTTAAATTTGAAAGTTTTCCTTAGTAAAAGGAGTGGGGGACATAGTGAGCCAGGTCGCGCGCGTTTCGGCGTAGGGGAGAAGCGCACAGGGGGCAGCCCGAAGCGGCCCGAAGAAGCCGAAACTACCAGCCGCTGTAAGCATACCAAACAAACAGGGATGCAAAAGTTGGGTACCGGCTGGGTGAGGGGGGTAAACTTCACTCTAAGCAAAAAGGAAATGAGTTTCGGATGGCTAGTGAAAAAGAATCGGCAAGGTCGAAAGGCCCCTAATGTACAGTCACGCCTAACCCACAATTCGACTTGTTCGGAGGGAACGTTCCATCTCAGCTGCTTGTTCATGGTCTCATACTGCTTAGCGGCCACATCCCATCCATCTTGAAGAAGCTGTTTGGTGAGCTCGAGCGCTGAAACAATGAGTTCTTGTGGGCGGCTATTTTTAAAAAAAAACACGGTGTATCGATCAGCACTTTTTGACGGCGGGATCGCACTCAGCATTTTTTTCGGTTTCGAACTGGCTAGCTGAAAAAAAACTCTGAAAGCGTCTAAAGGCTACCGCTTGTCGGTGAAACAACTGGTGAAGAACGTCATCAGGTTCTTCCTCCCCCCCCCCCCGCGCTTCCCGCGCTTCCTAACCGATTCCGACTTTTCGGAAAGGAGTTAGTGCTTACACGATCCCCACAACGGTTGCTATAGAACGAATGGAACATACTTATCATGCCGTGGACGCAGAGAATCCGGTCGTCAATCAGTCCGACATTCGGCATATTATCGAATAAAGCGAAGAACATCTCTTCCACCCCTTTGCAGTAGTTGGCACCAGTTATGTAGCTATAGAAGGTGTCGTAGCATGTGGTATTTTTGTCCTGTTTCGGATCTTTGTTCAGGGGGACTTCTTCATGGCTGCCACGGAGCATCCACACCTAAAGCAGATCTTTCGGGTCAAATTAGTTCCGCACGCAGGACCGAACTATTCCGCTCGAAAAACGATCAGAGGATAAAAAATTGCCGCGGAAGAGGAAAGCAAAAGGCTAATTCCGGCCAATTTAGGGAAATACGGCATCTTGCCGGGCTGGTCAAAAATCTCGGAATAACGTACTTTTTTCGGACAGTTTCGTGGACGGACTAACAAGAGTTTTCGAGTCTTCTTTAAGATTTGCGGGAGCGGAAGCAACCGTTTCCGGCGCCAGCCAAGATTTTTTATGAACAGTGGGAGCAATTTTATATTGTGTTCGGTTATTACGGGGCATAGAATTCGATTAAAATTTAATTTTAACTAAAAAATTTGTTTTTCCGATCCAAAATGATCAAATTTTTGACTTTTTCAAAATGCTTCTACTTTAAATTAAGTTAAAACTTACTACAAATGATGTAAAAACACTTTACACTCGATTAATAGGCGCATTGGAAGCGGCAGGAAAAGTTAGTTTCCCCCGCAAATCCTAAAGCACCCGTAGTGTTGATGGTTCATACCTGGTTCGGGAAGAGAGTCTTGTAGGCGAGGACCAGTATCAGACATTCGAATTGACGGCGGCTAGGGCCAACGATATTGCCCAGGAAGATGATACTAAAGAAAAATTGCGTGTATGCTTCGCAAATCGTCTCGAAAACTCACTTTTGCCCGGGCCCTTTGCCCACGACATCGGACAGCCAGGCATGAATCGCGCGCCAAAGATCGTTGATCTGAAAGCGACGCATAAAAACCGCAGCAAAAGTCAGACTAGAGGAATTGATGAAATTATTGATGAAATGCTTACATTTCCGTTAATATCCCCGACGACCATCGTTCTTCCCTTTGGCCTCGCCACGCCCTTTTCGGCTTTGAACCGCAGCATGACCGAGTCGCATAAAGCCTTCAGCTCGTCGGCGCTTGGGCGGAAGATTTGCTGCATTGATCGTTATGGAATAGCTAGGCCAGACATGGCTTGCACCAAAAAATGTCCGGTGTCGCCTTTAGAAAATACATTATCCACCCAATTTCCCCGTCTGCCCAAAGACAGTGTTCGATACTGGACCGTTCGCGGGAGAAACAAATTTTTCGCAGTAATTGTGCTAATTATGCTTCCCGTATACTGACATAACCCATTCTTTAAGCATGTCACATAGTTGACATAAAAAGTTCCTAACGAATTAAAAGCGTTTTCGACAAGTTATCCTAGTACGCAGTGCTCTTTGCTGTGCATTAGTGGGGGCGTCGCATAACGCCGTCAACATAATCTTTAAACGAACTTTGAAAGCACGACCAAATTTTCTTTTGGAATTTCACAATGAAAATTTACCCCGCCGCTGTCTGTAATCGACTTGTGATCGATAGGTAGACCGAGGTATCGGTCACTGCTCAACTCTTCAATCATCTTCTGCGCCACCGCCTTCTCGTTTAGGCGTTTGCCTTCAAAATTATCCGCGGCTGGTTCCGCACGTTTCTCCTCTTCCTTTGTGCGCATCTTAAAATTAGTCACTGGAGAGTTAGAGAGATAGCTTGATCAAGACTGCAGAATTTTGTGGAAGATCCAGATCGAGATTTCAAGTATTTGAAAGATCAAGAAGTCATCTTCATCAGACCTTCTGTTACGTCTTTCCACCGAGGTCTGTTTCGACTTAACAAAACGCATAACCCTTTTGCCGAACTCGTACCCACCAGCTCCTCGAGATCGATCCTGAGCGCGAATCCACGTGCAGCCAGTTCGTAGTGGCCTGGTTCGCATTCCATCGGACGTGCAGTTCCTTCCGTCTAAAAAACGCAAGTAGATCGGAAAGAGCTGGATACATTGAGTAGTACTTCCCCAAGTGCTGATACCTATTTTCAAGCTCAAATTGTTTTGCTTTCCCGCTTTTTTGACTCAAAGCTAGCTCATCAGACGCAGCATTCCCAAAGATGTCCAATAAAGATGAGGATTTTATTGGGGCCGAGTCCAGAACCGATCTTATGCTTCAAATCCTCAAGCCGTCTTACCATTGCCCTGATGTGCACTTTGTGTCCTCCGACGATGTTGGATGTGATGAGTTGGTAGTTCCCCTCGGCAAGGTCGACTATTTCCGATGGCGGTGTTTGCATGGATGATTCGGGATCGGGTTGAGTCGGGTCGGCGACCGCCGACTTTGGTTTGGCGACATTCGGGACCGGTTTGGAACCGCCTGCGGTTTTTGGACAACTTCTACGGCTGTTTTGGGAGCGGCCGGTGTCTTTCGGACAACTTCTGCGGGCGGTTTGGGAGCGGCCGGTGTCTGTCGGACAACCTCTGGGGGCGGTTTGGGAGCCGCCGGGGTCGGCGCGACAGCAGCTGGGATCGGCTTTGGAGCGACGAGAGCTGGCTCATGAACGGCAGGGATCGGGGCGGGGACCGCCGCTGGAGGTTCAGGAACGGCTGGAGTAGTTTGCGAAACGACCGCAACTTTCTCCAGATGCTCCGCCGGCTTTTTCCTAAAAGACTGGTGGAAAACCTCGGGCTAGCTACTTTTTCAGCATGCAGCTTAACAAGACACCGCAGATGATCAGGAGGAACACGCCGCCACCACCTAAAGCTAGCGGTTTGTAAGGGCCGAAAGGGCCTCAGGAATAGACAGGATAGCTCACCTGCACCTAGCCAGACCAGCATTTCACTCGACACAAGAGCAGCCGCCGTAGTAGTTTCGATTGGTGGAGTACTGCTGATGGTACCGTGGCGATTTGTACAGATTCGCTGAAAACGAGTTTGCATTCCGAATTCTTCGATTCGGAAAGTCGTCAAAAGATCAAAAAACAACCCATACACTGTCGTTGCTTCCCTGACATGGTGGTGGGTTGATGATCAACCCGCTAGTATCGCCGGTCCGGAATAGGACAAAGATATTCTTGTTGCAATTCAACAACTCGTCCTTCTCAACGCGTCTCCGGTCTTCGTTCTGGAAGAGCAAAATTTCCTCTAAGGGATTTTCCGCGGCTACCGCCAATCCGGAAATGTCGATGCAGCGGGGGTATTCTAGCTTCTCGGCAGCTTGGCGTCGTTTACGGCGGCTTTGGAGGTCATCGAATTCAGACGGTATTATCTGAAAAAAGCAATTAAGACAGATTCGAGACTTTCGGATTGATCAAGATCAAGGGCAAGAAAGGAAAGGAAATCAATTCTAGACCTCATGAATCTCGTGAGAGAAATGTTCTCTTGCGGTGCCATTTGCAGTGAATGGGGCGGTTGAGGGATCAGGACCTTCGGCTGGCGTACTCGGTGTTGATGCCGGCGTCTCTTCCACTGCCCCGAGCAATAGGTTCTCCTCTTCGTCCATCAACACGGCGTACGGCCCAGACTGAAATGAATTGAGACTTTAGTTCCGGAATCGGATAAAGAACTATCACTCTTCTCGGCTAAAGTCTAAGAAACCCCACCTCCCCCAGGCGAGATGTAGGCCCGGGGGAGAGGGCGCAGGCGAAAAGTGGCCCTGGGGGGGTTCTAGACTCTTACCCTCTTCTCTCCACTAAAACGCACCAAAGCTCGACGAGCAGTAAAGTAGGGAATCGCTCCCGCTGGATTCGTGATATCTAGGAAGACACAATCCTCATAGGTGCTGCCGTATTGATATTCGCACGGTTTGTCGCAGTCTGCAGCACCAGCCACATCTTCCAAAACCCTAGAAAAATGTTCTAACGGCCATCGTCTGGCAATTTCATACGGTTCCTGTCCTTCCTTGTCGCAAATCGGTAGTGGCTCACATGTTTTGCCTTCGGGTCGTCCGCCCTTGCCGCAATACTAAATATGACATCACCACGCCCAAGTGATTTGCTACCGTCACATTTTGTGGATCGAGGACAGCATAGATATAGTTGGTGAATGGGGAAACGTCATCTTTTGCGTATCCGGCGCCGATGTGGAGACTCGGGACGCAGGTCTTGCTCGACCGGCGCCTTCCTGATCTGCTTTGTTGGGCGACTGCTTCGATGATAATTCTAAAAACGACGAGACTTTACTTTAGCCCGGACACTTTACAGAAATTTTAAGTACAGGAAAAATGCGCCTTCTCCGAGCTCCACAAGGACTAGCTCCACTAGTTGGCATGGCAGCCGGGATAATGGTTAAGAAGCGTATGATCCACGGTATCTGACATAAAATCAAGTTTTGGAAAAAACTAGTTTTGAAAAACACTTGACGATGCTCTATTGAATGGCGTCAAATAACCCCGAAAGTAGTTAAAATTTCGACGTTTTGGAACCTTCGTGCTTGGCGGGAAGTAAAGTCTTATCCAAAAACAATCATAAAGCGTGGTGTCAGACGATGACAAAGGACCAGGCTGTTATTGACGTATGGTCAGTGACATTTTGCGACCCTGCGGTGGACGCGGCCCTGATTGCAAACAAGAAAAAGACCCACCCGGGTACTATGAAGCCAGCATCACATTGTACCAGGTATTGGCTGGTTAAGACCATTCCTGTTTTTGCATAGGCGGCCGTGCTCCTAGATGGGGTATCAGGGGATAAAGCTTACTTGACCCACCAGGCTTTCCCTTCGCATTTTCCCGCGGCTAGCATTTCTCGCGTGCACAGGTTGAAGGGAAACATCACTTTATCTATCAAAAAATATAATTCCAATACATATGAAGTGAAACCTTTCCCATTATTGATCGTAACAGGTAGGATGCAATCAACTGTATCAGATCCTGCACTTGCATCGGCCGCCTGAAAAATGTGCTGCATAGGGGGGGAGATGAGGAAATGGTTTGATGTTTAGTGACGAGATCGAACTTACACAAAAGTTTGGTCGACATGGGCGCGTAACGACCAGCCTATCGTCGGCTCCGGTTGTAGCGCCAGGTTCGCAGGTCGGAACCGTCGCACAATCGTCACATTCACCTTCCAGCCAGCCCGGCATCTCGGTGCCCATTTTCGCCAGGTGTTCGTAGCCGTAGCAAAGGAATGGCCGTCCTCGGCACTGAATGGAGGGTAATGTCTGTGCTGGCCGGGGACCGGGAAATTCCTTTTAGGTGCTGTCGGCACCTTCCTTCCCTTGGCGTCCAAAAACCTAATGAAAACCTTGATGAAATCGGCCACTGACATATTTAAGTCCGTCGTCTCGGCGACTCCGATGGTGGTTGTGGACGAAGGGGGCGGATGAAGCTCGGTTGGGTTGCTGGTGGGAGTCCGGCGGTTGCGGAGTGTCGCGACCTCTGAAATGATGAAGCCGGAGTTCAAAATGATATCGGATTTCTGATCACCACAAACGGCAAACAACCATGTTGGTTTACAAGGGCTCCCGCCTCATCTCAGCCGACCGCAACTTTGGTAAGACTCCTACTTTCCCCCCCGCCCCAGCCGCCCCTTTTCTCTGCGCCCCCACCCCCAGGCCTACTATCTCGCCTGGGGGGCGGGGGTGGGGGGTGGGGGGGTAAAGTAGAATCTAGCCGCAACTTTTATAACACAGCTACCCTTATCCTACGGGGCTAAAGAAATGCACTAAAACGTTCGCCTTGGTCTAGTCGACCAGAATACAAACCACAACCAAACCAAATCGAAAATTTTGATTGAAAAATATCGAAATTCGCCGAGGGGATAAATTTCAAACTCGAAAAACTGACGCGTAGCTGTGGGTGTTGGCGCCGCTGAAGGAGGCGAGGATGAGCGAGTAGATAAGCAGCAGCATCGCGCCACCAGGCTCCAGCGGGAATCGATGACGACGTCTCATCGATACGCGCGTAGGGACAACCGTACTTTGCAGTGGGATCGATAAATGGTATTTGGGGACTGTAGGGCGACCGATTATGTTAATTTATTCTGATTTTCGAAGGTAAGTGCGGCTACCTACCCTAGGCTTATTATGGTACGCTGGTACCCATGATTACCGATTTCAAGGACAAGACAAGACGAGACTTCTGGAGCTTGTATCTTGGCTGTCTTTGACTTTCGCGGTCCAGGACCCTCCTACCGAAACGATTCGGGTCGAGAGCTACAAAATGACATATCGCATGTCCCGTATAGAACTATCTACAAAT